TGCAGGGACCAGTGGGTGCAGGGACTGGTGTGCCCTGGGAACAGCAGGAATTGGGACCAGTGGGTGCTGGGACCAGTGGGTGCTTGGACTGGTGTGCTCTGGGAGCTGCAGATGCTGGGATCAGTGGGTGCTGGGAGCTGCAGATGCTGGGATCAGTGGGTGCTGGGATCAGTGGGTGCTGGGATCAGTGGGTGCTGGGATCAGTGGGTGCTGGGACCGGTGGGTGCAGGGACTGGTGTGCTCTGGGAGCAGCAGGAATTGGGACCAGTGGATGCTGGGAGCTGCAGATATTGGGACCAGTTGGGTGCAGGGACCAGTTGGGTACAGGGACTGGTGTGCTCTGGGAGCAGTGGGTGCTGGGAGCAGTGGGTGCTTGGACTGGTGTGCTCTGGGACCAGTGGGTGCTGGGACCAGTGGGTACTGGGACCAGTGGGTGCTTGGACTGGTGTGCTCTGGGAGCAGCAGGAATTGGGACCAGTGGGTGCTTGGAGCTGCAGATATTGGGACCAGTGGGTGCTTGGAGCTGCAGATATTGGGACCAGTGGGTGCTGGGACCGGTGTGCCCTGCGAGCTGCAGTTATCAGCTCCACCCCCACTGACCTCCCCTCCCCGCAGGTCCTGCAGTACAACGTTCCAGGTGGGAAATGCAACCGAGGGCTGACGGTGGTGGCTGCGTTCCGGGAGCTGTCTGGACCGGGGCAGAAGGATGCTGAGAGCCTGCGGTGCGCTCTGGCCGTGGGTTGGTGCATCGAGTTGGTGAGCTGAAGGCTGTGCTGCAGGTTGGGGCTGCGGGTGGGGGTCCCTCCACCCCCCCTCCAGCAGCCCCCCAACGCACCTTTTGCAGTTCCAGGCTTTCTTCCTGGTGGCTGATGATATCATGGATCAATCCCTGACGCGCCGGGGGCAGCTGTGCTGGTATAAGAAGGTGGGAATGGTGGGGGCTGCCCTCAGCTTGAGGGGGGGGGCTGCAAGGTTGGCTGGGCTGTGACAGCTTCGTGCCCCCCCCCCCTGGTGCAGGAGGGGATCGGTTTGGATGCCATCAATGATGCCTTCCTCCTCGAGTCCTCTGTGTACAGAATGCTGAAGAAATACTGCGGGCAGCAGCCGTATTACGTGCATCTTCTGGAGCTCTTCCTGCAGGTGAGGCCCCCCAGGACCCCCCCTTCCCCTCCTCCCAAAAGCTTTCCTTGGGGCTGACCCACCTCAGATCTCAGGCTTCTCCTTCAGTCCTGGGTTTTGTCCTTCCTCCAGGGATTGGAGGAGCTGAATTTGGGCTGGAAATGGGGAGTTTTGTTGTTTTCGTGGGGACTGAGTGAATAAATCCTTCCTCTTCAGACAGCCTACCAGACTGAGCTCGGGCAGATGCTGGACCTCATCACAGCTCCCATTTCCAAAGTGGATTTGAATCAATTCAGTGAGGAGAGGTAAAGAAACCGAAGGGGGATGGCAATGCTGGCCTGGCTCTGCTTGGCTCTGCTTGCTGTCCCTTTCCAGGCTGCAGAGCAGACAGGTTGCTCCCGACACGCTGCTGTCATCTGGCTTTGGGCAACGAACCTCATTCAGTTTCAGGACCTGGTGGTGGCTCAGAGGGAGATTCTGCCTTCCTCCTGCTGGCCCTGCTGTGCTGAGCAGCAGTTTGAGGGCCTTTCCCACTGAGCACCACCCCCTACCACAGGTACAAAGCCATCGTTAAGTACAAGACTGCCTTCTACTCCTTCTACCTCCCCGTGGCTGCTGCCATGTATATGGTGAGTTCTACAGGAAAAAGGTTGGGCTGCAAACACTCAGCACCACAGCGACCAGCAGGGCGGATGCTACAAAACATAAAGGTGTAAAAACCAGATATTGAAAGCTTTTTGGTCTTTTCTCCCCTCCCCGTTCTGAGGTTGGGATTGACAGTAAGGAAGAACATGAGAACGCCAAAGCCATCCTGCTGGAGATGGGGGAATACTTCCAGATCCAGGTAGGAGCCCTCCCTCCCATCACCCCACGTGTTGCACAGCAGTTTGTGGGGCTGAGCTTCCCATCCTTTTGCAGGATGATTACCTGGACTGCTTTGGAGACCCGGAGCTCACGGGAAAGGTGGGCACAGACATCCAGGACAACAAGTGCAGCTGGCTGGTGGTGCAATGCCTGCAGCGCGTCACACCGGAGCAGCGGCAGCTCCTGGAGGTACAGCCCAGCCCCCATCATGGAACCATGGAATGGTCTGGGTTGAAAAGGACCAAATGCCCATCAGTTCCAACCCACTGCTGTGTGCAGGGTCACCAAACACCAGACCAGGCTCCCCAGAGAACCCATAGGGTGCCATTAGGATCCATGGGATGCCATAAGGATCCACAGGGTGCCATAGGGGCCCACAGAATCATTGACTCACAGAATGGCCTGGGTTGAAAAGGACCACAGTGCCCATCAGTTCCAACCCCCTGCTGTGTGCAGGGTCACCAACCACCAGACCAGGCTGCCCAGAGACCCCATGGGGTGCCATAAGGATCCATGGGGTGCCATAAGGATCCATGGGGTGCCATAAGGATCCATGGGGTGCCATAAGGATCCATGGAATCATAGAATCATAGATTGGCCTGGGTTGAAAAGGACCACAGTGATCATCTGGTTTCAACCCCCTGCTGTGTGCAGGGTCGCCAACCACCAGACCAGGCTGCCCAGAGAACCCATGGGGTGCCATTAGGATCCATGGGGTGCCATAGGGGCCCACAGAATCATTGACTCATAGAATGGTCTGGGTTGAAAAGGACCAAATGCCCATCAGTTCCAACCCCCTGCTGTGTGTAGAGTCACCAAACACCAGCCCAGGCTGCCCAGAGAACCCATAGGGTGCCCTAAGGACCCATAGGGTGCTACAGGGACCCATGGGGTACCATAAGGACCCATTGACTCATAGAATGGCCTGGGTTGAAAAGGACCACAATGCCCATCAGTTCCAACCCACTGCTGTGTGCAGGGTCACCAAACACCAGCCCAGGCTGCCCAGAGAACCCATGGGTGCCATAAGGACCCATAAGGTGCTACAGGGACCTATGGGGTACCATAAGGACTTATAGAATCATAGAATGGCCTGAGTTGAAAAGGACCACAATGATCATCTAGTTCCAACCCCTGCTGTGTGCAGGGTCACCAACCAGCAGCCCAGGCTGCCCAGAGCCACATCCAGCCTGGCCTTGAATGCCTGCAGGGATGGGGCATCCACAACCTCCTTGGGCAACCTGTTCCAGTGCCTCACCACCCTCTGGGTGAAAAACTGCCTCCTCATATCCAACCTAAACCTCCCCTGTCTCACTTTAAAGCCATTTCCCCTTGTCCCATCACCATCCACCCTCACAAACAGCCGTTCCCCCTCCTGTTTATATGCTCCCTTTAGCTACTGAAGACCACAATGAGGTCTCCCCAAAGCCTTCTCTTCTCCAAACTAAACAAGCCCAGTTCCCTCAGCCTTTCCTCACAGGGGAGGTGCTGCAGCCCCCTGCTCATCTCTGTGGCTCCTCTGCACCCCCTCCAACAGCTTTCTTGTCCTGGGGGCTCCAGCTTTGGACGCAGTTCTGCAGATGGGGCTTCACAAGAGCAGAGCAGAGAGGGACAATCACCTCCCTGTCCCTTCTGGCCACCCCTTTTTTCATGCAACTCAGGATATAGTTCACCTTCAGGGCTGTAAGCACACACTGCTGCCTCACATCCAGCTTCTCATCCACCAGGACCCCCCAAGTCCTTCTCCATAGGGCATAAATCTTCCCCTTTGTATCAACACCTGGGGTTACCCCGACCCCATTGCAGCACTTATTGAACCCACAGCACACAGAGCCCCACGCAGCCCCTCGACCTCACTGTGCTGTGTTTGCAGGAGAATTACGGCCGTAAGGAGCCCGAAAAGGTGGCAAAAGTGAAGGAACTCTATGAGACCGTAGGGATGAGGGCTGCATTCCAACAATACGAGGAGAGCAGCTACCGGCGCCTGCAGGAGCTGATAGAGAAACACTCGAACCGCCTCCCCAAGGAGATCTTCCTCGGTTTGGCACGGAAAATCTACAAACGTCAGAAATGAGGGATCGGGGCCGACGATGTGCTCTGTGTTGAATGGTTTTACAGCTCCGGACCCGGTGCTTTTCCCAGCCCGTTATTTCCGAGATTGCTGCTTTCTCGAACTCATCTCGTTGCCGTCGGTCTGTGTGTCAATAAACGTAATTTATTGCTGTTCTGCCTCATCTGGTCGTGGCGATGCGGCTCTGAGGGCGGATCTCTCCCCTCACCCCCTCCATCCTTCCCCCCCCCCCCTCCACCCCCCGACGGTGGCTGCGCTCAGCGGGGCGGGCGGTTCGGTTCGGCTCCTCCCCGCCGCATTCAGAGCCCGGAGCCGCCGCAACGCGGAGCGGTGAGCGGGGCTGGCGGGGGGGGCTTGGAGAGGGGGGAGTTTGGGGTTCCCTTGCGGGTTCCGGGGTTGAGGGAGGGGTGGTCTCAGGGCCCGGCGTTGAACTGGGGGGGTTTTGTTCCAAGGATGGGGTTCCTTGAGGGCACGCAGCGCTGCGCTGCAGCATTGGGATGCTCGGAGCAATGCGGCACGCTGCGGTGATGGCTGCGACCGTGGGGTCCTCCCGCGTGGTTCGGACCTCTGCCCGGCGATGCTCCGTCCTCAGAACCCTCCCGGGGCTCCTCTCCCGTGACCGGTGGACGGCGGCGGCTCCGGTTGACGTTTCAAGGGCGTTTTCTCCTTGACGGCGTCTCGGAGCCGCTCCCGGCGCTGCGGCCCCGCACCCATCCCCGCTCGGTGCCTCCCACATCAGCGGCCGCATCCCTTCTCCGTCTCGGTTCTCCTCCAGGTCTGCGCTGCTGTCAAGGTACGGAAAGGCCCTCGGCGTTGGGAGGAGCTGGATGGTGTGAGCCGAACCGCCGTGCGGCTCTGCGAGGAGCCCAGCTGCTCCCAGCGGGATCGGCGTCATGCTGGCTCCGAAGAAAGGGCTGCTGTGTAACCTCAACCACATCCACCTGCAGCACATCTCACTGGGGCTGCACCTCTCTCGGCACCCGGAGCTTCAGGACACGGCGGGGCTCGGGGACCAGAAGTGCTGCAGCAGCTGTCGGGAGAGCTGTGAACAAGTAGATGCCAATTCCAACAATCCCTCCTTGAAATGTCACTGCTGCGAATCCCACGCCGAGCTGCCCGTGACACTGGGCCTGCAAAACCAGGCGGCTCCAGAGGATTTCCCCCGCCTGCAGGATGGGGAGGAGGTGGTTTCCCCCTGTGATCCACCTTCCACCTCCTCCTCGGTCAGCAGCTGTTCAGATTTCAGCCTGGATGAGTCGCCGGTGTCTGTGTACTACAGAGGGTTCTCAGCAGAAGGGTCCCAATCCCCTACAGAGCCATCCAGCGCAGTTCCTGCAGAAGATGCACAGCTGCTGCCTGGGGCAGGTGATGGAAAAGACACCAACCTCAACCCAGCAGTGCTCCAGGGAGAGGAGGACCTCATCAGAGAGAGCCCCGACAGCCTCTGCAGCAGCAGCTCACTCGACTCCCAGTACAATGAAACCTCTTCCAGTGCAGCCGTGCAGCAGATCACAGACAGCTCCATCGACCTCGACCCCAACTGCAACCCCCTGCCCGATCCCAGTGTTGCACCACCAGCACCAGCTGTGCCGTGCAGCTGGGAGCAGAACCTGAGCATCGCTCCCAAACCAAACCGCGGCGGGGTGAGCAGCGTTCCTCCTCCCATCCCACCACGGCCCAAGAGGCGACTGCAGCTCCTCAATGGGCACGGAGCAGAACGGCCAGCCCTGCCCGCGAGGCCAGCAGCACCCGAGCCCAGTGCTGAGCTCTGCAGAGACGCAGCCAAGAAGAACATCACCTCCTTCCACGAGCTCGCCCAGAAGAGGAAGAAGAACACCTTCGGGACCGCTCCCATCCCAGCCAGGGTGGACCGAAGCGACTGGCTGATTGTTTTCTCACCCGACACCGAGCTGCCACCCCACAGCGAGCTGCTGCCCAGCACTGCAAGCCGGGACCCAACGCAGCCCCAGCAGGACTGGGGGGTGAAACCTTCCAGCACCGTGCAGAGGGAGATCACCACGTTCAAGGAGCTGCGTTACCGCAGTGCCTCCAACAAACCCAAGGGTCAACCGACGGCCCCTCAGCGCCCGCCCGCACCCCCGGGGGGGTTGGATGGCTCCAGCTGGGTGTCACCTGCAGTGCTGGGGGGGCGGCTGCCAGCACCCCCTGAGAATCACCAGGCACGGAGGAGACCCCGACCTGCACTGCAGCCCATCGCGGAGGGACGGCCGCGGGATGCAGAGCTGCCCATGCAGAGCCGCCCTGGGGAGCGCTTCGGCTGTGACACTCGGACCTGGAGGAGTGGGGGGTCCGGCGGGGACCCCCGGGGGTCGGGAGAAGCTGAGCACGGAGAGGAGACGCATCAGGAGGGTAAGAGCCACAGCCAGCCATGGGGGTGCCCGTTTTTGGGGTACTGAGCCACGGCAAGCAGGCGGGTGGGAGAACTTTGGGGCATGGGGGGCTCCGGGCTGGGGGTTTGCACGGGGCCGGGTGGGTACAGGGGTACAACCCCTCGTGTCGGTACAACCCCTCGTGTCACAGAGCTCCGTTGCTCTGTGCCGGACGGGGCCGAGCCGCTCTCATTTCCCCGACTCTCAGCTCTGCGGCTGCTCAGGAAGCAGAGGCGACGCGCAGGGTCTGGGGCTGCCCTCCCCCCCCTCCCGTCCTCCGTTCTCCCCCATTCCTCTCCCCGTCCGACCCGCAGGGAAATGCCCTGGGCGGGCCCCGATTATCGCCGTGCCCGGCCCTGCCCTCCCCGCTCCCCTCCGCCCTTCCCCTCCCCGCGGTCTCCGGCTCCATGAGCGAGCTGCCCCCGCCCAGCCCCGGCTCCGCTTCCCGGTGCGGTGGGCGCCCCCTCGGCCCGCCGCAGCCCCGCAACCTCCCTGAAGCCCCGGCCGTTCCCGCAGCCCGGCCCTCCCCACCCGCCGCCGGAGCTCCGGGCGCAGCGCAACCCCACGGTGACGGCCAGGAGGGACGGCGGGGCGCTCTGGCGGAGCAGAAGAAAGGTAACGGGGCCCTGCGGGGCGGAGGGTTGGGAGGGGCGGGTGGGCGGAGCTGCGGGGCCCGCAGAGGGGCCGCTCCTGCGGCCTACGGGCACCCCGTGAGGCCTTATGGGCCCCTCCTGAGGCCTGCGGCCACCCCGTGAGGCCTACAGGCGCCCCTCGAGGCCTGCGGGCCCTTCTGAGGGCTGCAGGCTCCTCCTGAGGCCTAGGGGTACTTCCTGAAGCCTATAGGCCCCGCCTGAGCCCTGTGGGCACCTCTTGAGGCCTGCAGGCCCCCCTTGAGGCCTAGGGGCACCTCCTGCAGCCTATGGTCCCCGCCTGAGCCCTGTGGGCATCTCCTGAGGCCTGCAGGCCCCTCCTGCAGCTTACAGGCCCCCCTTGAGGCCTAGGGGCACCTCCTGCAGCCTATGGTCCCCTCCTGAGCCCTATGGGCATCTCCTGAGGCCTACAGGCACCCCTTTAGGCCTACAGGTCCCTACTGAGGCCTACGGGCCCCGCCTGCAGCCTGTAGGCCCCTCTTGAGGCCTAGGGGCACCTCCTGCATTCTACAGGCCCCTCCTGAGCCCTGTGGGCACCTCTTGAGGCCTACAGGCCCCCCTTGAGACCTGCAGGCTCTTCCTGAGGCCCAGAGGCACCCCATAAGACCTACAGGCACCCCTTGAAGGCCTAGGGGTACCTCCTGAAGCCTATGGGCCCCTCCTGAGCCCTATGGGTATCTCCTGAGGCCTGCAGGCACCTCCTGAGGCCTACAGACACCCCTTGAGGCCTGAGGGCACTTCCTGAGAAACATGGGCATCTCCTGTGACCCCTTGGGCACCTCCTGAGACCTATGGGAACCTCAGTGCAGCCTGCACCCCTTCCCCCTGCCTTAATCACAGCCCCCTTGCAGCCTGAGGAGCTGCAGGGCCCCACAGGGACACCCCACGCTCGCCATGGTCTGTGCTGGCTATGGGGTGGGTTGGGGTGTGTCTGAGTGCATTGACATTTTCCTTCCTGTCAGCTCTGCTGATTGCTGTCAGCACTGCTGTGGATAAAGTCATCGCCCACTTCAGCTCCGCACGGAACCTGGTGCAGAAGGTGAGAGCCCAGCTGGGGTGGGTGGAAGAGTGGAGGGGCTCTGGGGGCTTTGGCAGCGGCTTTGTGTTTTATCATACCCTTATTCCCCATCTCTGGAGTTCACCAGAAGGAACTCTGTGGGAAGGATCCCGTTATCTCTTCCCTCCTCTCTCTCCCTGTCTCTACACACTGCTGCCTCCTCCCTTCAGGCTCAGCTGGGCGACAGCTGGCTCAGCCCTGATGTGGGCTACCTGCTGCTGCACACCCTCTGCCCTGCACTCTATGGTCTGGTGGAGGACGGGCTGAAGCCCTTCCAGAAGGATGTCATCACAGGGCAGAGGAGGAACTCCCCCTGGAGTGTGGTGGAAGCCTCCGTGAAGACAGGTAGGTGTGGGGAGATGTTTGGGACGAGCACCTCGGAATGCCTGGAGCCCTTTTCCTGCCTGGCCACTGGCTGGGGAGGGTTTGGACCCAGAGCAGTGATTCTCTGTATGCTTTGTATCACACAGGCCCCAACACCCGCTCTCTCCACAACCTGTGCTGGCGTGTGGCCGGGCTGGCCCCTCTCAGCAGCACCAGGCAGAAGTTTCATGCCTTTATTCTTGGCCTTTTGAAGTGAGTGCTGGCCCAGGCTGCCCTTGCTGTGACAGCAGGCTGGAGCGGAGTCCTGGGACTCCTCTAACTTGGGTTTCTTTTACTTTGTCCAGTACGAAGCAGTTGGAGCAGTGGGTCTCACACCTGCAGAATAGCCCAGGTAGGATGCAATGCCCCCCACCACATCACGAGACCCATTGTGTGTTTGTAGAGCCAAGATGATACCTCCTGTACCCGTCCCACACACAAAGCTTGGCCAGGACTTCCACAGTGGACAAGGGCATTGATTTCCATGGCTGTCCTACTGGATGAGGGCGATTGGGGCGACCAGTTTGGAACCAATAAAACCCTCTTTGACCTGCTGGGATGGGAGGGTTCTTTGGGTAAGGGATGGGGACATTTTCCAGCCCTACAGTGCTGTCCATGTTTTGTAGGTGTCATCTCCATGCTGTATTTTCCTACGGCTTTCTTTGCTCTGAGCCAAGGCCCTCTCCCCCATC